CATGAGTAAAACATTAGCTAAATGTTTTATTATTGATGTGTCAGCATACTTTGGCACTCTTTGCATTTTAGATCATGCCACTGCAATGCAAACACCGTTTTCACTTGGCAGACAATAAAACATTTATGTATCTATAAAAGGTACTCACCCTCCCCTCAGAGAGAATTTGACTGATCTTATTGGTTTTAAAGATAGCTAAAGATGTTCACGGTCCCTTGCCTCTCTGGTACCACGTGATTTCACGGTGTTCCCCGTGGGAACAGGGACTGGTGTGCTGTGCAGAGTGGGGCTGTCTGAGCTGCTCTCCAGGCAGTGGTAGCCATGAGGCTGAGCAGATGCAGCAGTTCCTGGGCCCCCTCACCTCCCTGTGCCTGCAGGTCCACCAGGTCCCTGCTCCCTGTCAGGGACAGACCTCGGGGATGCAGGGGCTGCTCACCTGCACAGTTGGGGCTGTCAGAGCTGGTACCGTGCAGGGATGCTGCTGGAGGTCAGGGAAGTGGGGAGACACTGTGCAGGAAGATGCCGAATGTGATATTGTTGCTTATCCTGAACCAGGCAATAATCTTGAGCTCGAGTTTAAAATAACGATTCTGAGGATAGGGGAAAAAAGGTAACTAATTGTTTTTGAGTTTCTTATTTCCCTGTGTAAAAAAACTGTTAGCATGGATGCAAAAAATGTTGTCTTAGTTCACATCACAAGGTCTGCTCCACTAATATCTGTCCCTTATAGGTGACAATAGAAGTCATAAAGACCCACTGAACAAACATATGGGGATGTTCCTTGATGCCCTTTCCTTGGCTGTCCAGTCCAACCTGGCCTTGGACACTTCCAGGGATGGGGCAACCACAGCTTCTCCGGGCAACCTGTGGTGCCAGGGCCTCCCCACCCTCACAGGGAAGAATTTCTTTCCAATATCCCATCTAACCCCGCCCTCTGCCAGTTTGAAGCCATAATGATGTTCCCTTTGGTTCCCTGTTCCTGTTGTGTTGCTGCCAGTGATGTATTTGATGGCACACTCTGAGCACCCGGAGCTGGGCACGGGAGCAAACGCTCTGTCATCTGGGCTCCCATGAGAGCTTGCACCCAGCTACCTGGCGCAACCCCCTGGCTGGGTGTTCCTCCAGCTGCAGAAGGGCAGTTGTCCCTGGGACTTTTCATGACAGTTGGAGTAGTGTGGGTACTGTGAATGCCAGTGGTCTCTGTATGGTGAAGTTGTGTATCTAAATCCTGGTTTCTAATCCAGCCCCCTCGTCATTTTTGCAAGTCACGACTTTCCATAACCATAGTTCTACCCGGTGCTGGGAAGTGCAGCTCACTTGGGAAGAGCTCTTTGGGAAGCAGCAGGCAAACGGGCCACTAAGCAGACCACTTACCCTGCAAAGCTGTGTGCAGGTACAGGCTGGGCCTTTACCCACTGAGTAGTTGGATGCCTTGGGATTGCAGAGCCTGGCTCTGACTGGCTGTTTGGATGCCCTGGGATAGAGGAGCCTAGCACTGATGTGGCTTACCTCTGCCACGAAAGAATTATGGGGACAGCAGGAGAAAATGAACCAAGGTTGTACATTTTTGAGTTTTCTTTGCTGGTAATTCATTGGCCAGGCTGAACATCCTTCACTGTGAAAGCAGTGGCAATTTCCCAAGGGTTTTCTTGTCCCCAGAGTAGGTACAGTGGCTAGCAACATAAAGACTTCTTTAAAAATAAGTGGATGTTGCAGCTTTGAGAACTATTGATCCAGTACAGTGTTGGGTTTTTCAATAAAGAATCCTTTTGTAGAGGTGGAAACTTTAAACAGGAGAGAGAAGGGAATAGCAGGGAGGAGGGTTGTGAAAGGTGGCTCTCCTTGAGGGATGGTGCAGCAGTACTCCCTGCACACCTGGCTGGGGCAGGGCATGAGCAGGGCTGGGGAACTCGGCAGTGTGGGACAGAGGCAGATTGGTGCTGTGCCAGCAAATCCTTGGAGTGCAGTGGTAATGTGGATCATTCTGTAAGTCAGCTAAAGCCAGTGCTGAACTGGGCTCCAATTGGAGTGAATCGCACGCCAATTGGGAATGAAAGGACAAGAATTCATTGCGCTCATTGTATTGTGACTAAAATAACTTTTCCTCGGTGAGTATGGATACAAAGTTTTCCTCTGGATCTGGCGATCCCCTCGTGATGGCTCTCCTGGGAGGGAGCAGCAGCAGGTCCCCCCGCTTTGTGGTGCCTGGAGTTGTGCCGTGGCTGTGGTGTGTCCTGTGCCCTGCTCTGGGAGGCGTGGGCTCCCTGTCCTGCACAGCAGCTGCCTGTCTGAACACCTGTGTCAGCTTCTTGGCTGATGCAAAAGAGCGCAGCTTCTCACACCTCATGCTCCCCTGCCCCTGGAATACTTAGCCTCCTTTCCAAGGCTAATCCACGCCTTCCCAATAGTCATCTAGTTCCAATTACTTCCAAATGCTAATAATCCTAATATTTATTCATAGTTCTACAAGTTGCCAGCACGAGGTAGGACTGCCCCCTAGAAGGAGTGTTGTGTTGAGCTGCAGGCTCCTGTGCTGGGTTTTCTGGGAACATGCCCGTCACTGAGTGCAAACTGAAACCCAGTCCTGTGTGCTGAGGGCTGGAGCGCCCGGCCCGTGCTGGGAACAGGGTTGGATCGTGCCTAGTGCCTGCACAGCAGGTGTGTGTGGAGGTGCTTAGCTCTTGGAAGATCCTGCCCTTCTCCTGCTTGCAGGCTGATACCTGCCACATCTGCTGGACCAGAGCAGCCTGTTAGGCAGAAATCTTTAATTCTCTGAGTTTAGGTTCGTTGGCAGCGCGGTTGGGGTTTTTTTTTCTGTGCAATTAAAATAAGCTTGGCAAAATCTGCCTCTGTTTCCTGTACAAAGGCTGAGGACTCTTTTAAAAGCAAAATAACAAACTGTCTGAGCTTTTATGACTGGCTAAATAGGGCAGCTGTTGTTGGAGTGGTGTTCCAGCAACACCCTTTATTTCTTCTTAGAAAGGAGCTCCTGTGTTTTGCAAAGCTCTCCTCTTATCTGTACTCATCTGCACCTGATGTAGCTAATAAAAATGCAGCAGATTTCAGATTTGCATATATTAGTTTATAATTGCATGCTTTCAAGTGTAACCCACTGAAAGTGTTTGTGTTCAGATGATGTCACAGAGAATGTGGTGATGGACACTTGGATTTTCTCCCATAAAGAGGTGCATTTCCCCACAGTGTGAGGTGGGAGCCTGAACTTGAGGGAGGACTAGTCATTTCTGCTGTGCACAGAAAGGAGGGCCAGGATTCCCAGTCACTGCAAGTAGTGGCAGCTTATGCTATTTTTGTACTGTTTTTCCCCTGTATGCCTTTACCTTAGGTGCACTTCGGGCTCCTTGAACCTCCTCAAGACTCCTGATGAAGGGATTGGATTTTTATCATGTCTGTAATGAATGTAAAATCTCGGAGGCAGCTGCAGGAGGGAGGGGGAAGCACACCCATGAGAGTGTGTGTTAGCAAAGCATTCTGAATATTGCTGCGGGCAGACCTCCCTCTGTTTCCTTTGCTTGTGGTCTGGGGAGCGGTCAGGAGTGTTTCTTAACGCTGTGATGTCAGCATTTGGTTTTCACACAATGAAGTTTTGCTGAGGAAGGATGAATCCTTTCCACCTGATTTAACCTGTCTTCCAGCTTCCACAGTGTTTTGTGTTGCTTGTTGGGGTTTTTCTGACACCTGTCCTTGTGCTGGTACCTGCCTGACTGGTTCCTTAGGCTGCACACCTCAAGGTGGTTTGGGCAGGCTTTTGTCAGCTCTGGCACAGCACACGTGCTGCGGTGGGAGGGGGAGGGCAGCCTGGCAGTGCTAGTTCTGCCTCAGAAGGAAGGAGTTACAGCTCCTGGCAGGTGAATCCTGGTTGGTGATAAAAAGTCAAAGGTATTGCTGGTGTTCCTTCATTATATATATTTTAAAAGTGCCAGCTGTCCTGCTCCAGTAGCTGCTGCTAGTTTGTTAGGACTCATTATAACATTTACCAATCCATAGGAATACAATTAACAGTATTAAGCTAAGTCTTTGGGCAAATTACTGTATGTAAAAAAGAGTGTGTTCCTCCTCAGGTGCGTTGCCTGTGTAGAGCTGTTGCTTGCATGAGTAACAAAATTAAGATGTAGCTCCCCTTTGCTCAGTTACTGCTTCAGAGGCAGCAAAACTGGGAGAGAGAGCTGGGTTGTTTTTCCATTTAATCATCTATGGAATTGCTAATTAAATTCCAATTGCTGGAGCTTTATTAATGATGTGAAAGCCAGGAAAAACACAGTTTGATTTTTTTTCCAGCTGAAGGCTGAATGTGCAGAACTGACCATTAGCAGAAAGCCATTATTTCAGTTGTTGTTGGGTAATTCAGATCTGGAATTTCTGGGGAGCACTTGGGTGCCAGAGCATTGTCTTCGTACTCGCTCCTCAGTTTTTAACCAAAAGCCATTCCTGCAGCCTAATTGGCAGGCTGTCCTTAAGCGCTTTATAATCCAATTAATGTCCAGAGCAGTAATAAAGCATTTGAGTAAATGGAGGGAATTTGTCTTTAAATGACTTGCGACGCCGTATTTGCAACCAAGGTTATGGACTGCGTCGCGTGCTCTTCTCCACGGCTGTACCGATGCTTGGCTGTGGGAAGAGAAGTGCTGCTGCAGCCCAGACACGGGGCTCTTGGTGCAGGCCCACTGCCACCTGCCCTGAGCAGCGCTGGCTGCCTCCCTCTGCTCCGGACAGAGCCGTGCTGTGCTCTCGGGATGTGTCTGTCCCCCGCTCGAGGCGTCTCTGGGTGGTGGCCACAGGAGCAAATTGCACAGGAAACATATGGACAAAGGTAGTTTCCCAAGGACAAGGTAAGCTAAGCTACAGGGAGGTGAAACAGAGCCTCTGGCGTGGTAACTGCAGCACTTGGTTGGGCAACTGTGTTACTTCACAGCAGGTGCGGTGGTTTTGAGTAGCTGATTAAACATCTGAGCTTTCTTTCCCCCCCACCCCGCTTTTTGCAGCTCTCCATGAGTTCCCCAATGACATCTTCACGAACGAGGACAGGAGACATGGAGCTGTGGTGCTGCACGTCCTTTGTGTAAGTGTTGTGACTTTGCCTTTCTTCTCCTGTTGGCTTGGACAGGGCTCAGTGTGCTCCAGTGTTTTCATTGAAGTTATTTTCGCTTTGGTGCATTTTGATGTCCTGTATGGACTATGCAGTCAGGTATCTGATACTTTGTACTCTTGGGATCTTGTGGTGAAAAGGAGTCATCTTAATAATGGAAGAATAGTTTGAATTTGTTTCGTGTTTCATCTCTAGCCACTGTCAGTCCATAGGAAAGAGAAAGTTGTCTCTGAAAATGGGAGAGTTTGGCATCCCTAAGATGAAAACCAAATGTCAGAGAACTAAAAGATTTCTGCAAGGCACAACTCTGGAACACTCTGTAATATATGAGATGGTAATACTGGCATAGAGATATCCATGGGGTTACATGAATTGGAAAACTTTCTTTGTCAGCTCTACCAGCTGTGTTCTTCCAGCCAGGCTGGCTTTGCTGAGGCTGGGGGGCAGCTGTGGTCCCCTGCCCTCTGCCCCTGAGCAGGAGGACATTCCTGGCCAGTCAAGGGAGGACACTCGTGTCATTGCCTTCAAAAAGAAGTGAAGTCTTACCCCTAGAAAGCCTCGTGGCATCCCTTAAGACAGAGCTGTAGGAGAAAGACATTAGAGGCAGTTTTCTGTTTAAAAGATTATCAACTACATTAATATGTCCAAAATAAAAAGGAACAAAAAAGTTTGTTTATCTGGAATACCCTTGGTACACAAGTTTTTAAAGTGAGCTTTTCTTCCTGAGTATGTTAAAGAAAATATTACAACTCCTTATTTATCAGCTGTAGGGTGGGAATTCTGGAGGACCTTGAGTGGGCAAGGGATTTGCCTCAAAGTTCAGAGGTGGGCCAAGAAGACTTGAATACTTGCTATTTTAAAGACCTTATTAACACCATAAATCTGTACAATTTTGGGCTTGTAGTTTTGTGATCTCTGCCCCAGAGAAGTCAGTGTAATTGGTGTGCGTGGGTAAGGCCAAAATTAAAGATACTCAAGATAAACTTATTTAAATATCCCTGGTCTGTCAGTCGGTTGGACGCTTAGCAGGTGTTCGAGGACTTGTGGTCAGCAGCTACAGTGCTCTGACAGAGGGGAACAGTGTCCCTCCAAGTCCCTGCCTTGACTCTCAGGTGGAGGAAGACAATTCTTTTCTTTTTTTCGTGTTGTTTGTGTTCAGGAAGAACTTCCAAGTCTGTACATCTTGGGGGTTAGAGACGTTCTTAAACAACCGAGAAAATACCCACTTCTAGTGAATGTTTAAGAGCTTTTAATAATTCTCAGCTGAAATGAGCAGTCACCATTAGCAGTGTGTGGTGATTCATGATTTCTTTTAAAGTATGAATTAGATTGTTTTGTATGTTGTAATGTGAGCCCTCTGTGTTAGGATTTTATTTTGGCTAAATGGCTGCAAAAATTTGTTGAATAACGTTGCTGTTGACTGTGCCTGGCAAGCTCGAGAATCCCAAGTTTCCATGGGAACACTGAGCTTTGAGATGTTTTGGAAAGTGAGCACTGGACTGGAGCTGGATTTTTTAGCACCCACAAGAATACTCCCAAAAATTCATATATGAATTCCATTCTGAATAAGCTGATGAATGTGCCTTTAACATGTGTCAAAATGGAGTCTGGAGGAGTGAAATTTTTGATGAACCATCTACTTCAGAATAAAAAGAAAAATCTGTTTTTAATGAGAAGTAGGTGTAAGCATCTGCTGTCCCATCAGAAATGCCCACTCAGGTTCTCCCCCTCTGGCAAGCAGCAAGGCAGCTGCCTCACTCCACCAGTGCTCCGTCACTCTCCATGGCAGTTCCATTGACATAAGAACATTTATTGACCATACTCTGTCTTGGGTGTCCCTGAGGTGCAGGACCCAGCTGCATTCAGCCTCTCTAGCGCTGTAGTAGTTGGGGACAAACCTTTTGTCAAAGAAAAAAATGATACTTGTAGAAAATAGACAACTGTCAGCATTTAGCAACCTGCTTCTAGTCTGTGTTGAAAGGGGTTGTCTTTGTAGTGGGGTGATGAACCTCTAAATCTGTCTTTTACCTCCCAGCAATACAGTTACCAAACATGTGATGAAATCAGAGCATGTGCAGAAATGCCCTTTTTGGAGAAAAAAAGGACACAGACACAGAGTTTCATTGTCTCCATTGAGGTTTCTCAGTGGGTTTGAGGAAATCAGCCTGTAAAAGGGGCTCTGTAGTGGTAGGGAAAACAATGCAGTGATGATTAGAGGTCATCATCATGCTTCTCATGTTTATTGACCTCCCCTTAAACAGTTTCTATTCATTTCAGTAAAAACTTGCTCTTTCTCCTCTGCCCCTTTGCCCATACTTTCATGTTTCTTTCTGAAAGGCATCAATGCAAAGCTGTTTAATGGAAACCAGCGAAACGAGACAAAAGCTATCACTGGGGCCTTGGGTCTCTCTGCTGTTTAATAAAGTGAAAACACAAAGACCCAGCAGATCTCAGGGTGGGGCTGCATGAATTACTAAATGTGATCTAACGCTTCGCAAAGATGAAAGTAAATCCCTAAACACTTGAAAAAATCTAGGAAAAACTAGGCAGTTCAGCAATAGTTCTAGGGCTGAGCTGAAAATACTTTGGTTTAAAGAAAAAGTGGGACCAGTGAGGACATATTACAGGTTTGGAGCCATGGCGTTTAATTTCTCCTGGATACTTCTTCAGAGCTCATTAGCTGATTGCTTCACTGCTATTCATTATTTCCATGCCCCCTCTGAGAAGAGTGCGTTCTGCCACAGACAGTGACTCCCTGCTAAGTCACTGGTTTGTGTTGTTCAGTTTAGAGAGGCCAGGACCTGGATTTTGAGAGTCTGGTGCTGATGTGCACTGGTGCCCATGTGGACCTTTCAGCCCTGCCATGTTCATGGCACCTGTTACCTCCTGGAGATGGGGAGGGGAAATGGCTTTGCTGAGAAATTCCTAAGGTTTTTGCTGACAGCCAAGAATGGAGGGTTTGGATCTGTGTGCTGTCCTGGTGTTTTTAACAGTATGGTGTTGCTCCCCCTTTTCCCAACTCTCTCTGGCAGGTCTGGAATTTGGTGCCAGGGTATGTTGCGTTGCCAGTGTGAGGGGGCCTGTGTGTGGTCGGGGTCGAGCCTGGCCCTGGGCAGAGCTGTGCCCTCCACGCTGAGGGGGCAGAGGAGCAGTGTCTGTGCACAGTCCCTCCTGCTCCTGGTTTGCCCTGGCTCTGTGTAGCCATGGGAACGGGGTGCTCCAGCAGGCACCTGCCTCCCTCCTTGCGAGGCGCTCAGAAAATGTAGGTCGCCCTGGATGCATCCTGTCTTTATCTGTTTCTGCACTGAGTCAAAGCCCGGCCCACGTCACTTGGACAGCACAGAGCTGTCTCATTCGGCCGATGACTTCCCGGTGCCCGGCCATCCGTGCCATGGCAATGCTGTGCCGCCACAGCTCGCTGCTGCCCCGAGGGAACTTGGGCTCTGGGGGATCCTGTTTGAATGGGTTTTTTTAATTTCTCTGCAGCAGTGGAGTTTTAGGTAGGTTTGTCATGTAGTCAGAGTTGAGGAAAGCCCTGTACTTGGTTTCTGAGGTGGCCCCTGGCTGGGCCTGCCCTCCAGGGCAGCGGGGCTGTGGGGCAGCAGCAGGGAAGGTCACCTCGGCCATTCCCAGTGCTCTGGGAAGAAGGCAGGGGCTTCTACAGCATTACCTTTTCTTGTGAAAAGCTGCTTATTTTAGCTCACTAAAGCAAGTTTTAGTTCAGCTATGAAGACTGTTGTGGGAAGGTGAAGCACTACTGGACCAAGGTGAAAAATGTGCATTTCATCCTGTGTGATGGAACAGGTATTTCGAGTCAGGTACTTAAGCTCCTTTGATGCAGAGATTGCAATTATTCTCGGATGCTTTTTTGTTAGAATTGTAATTTTAAAATCATTCCTAATGTAATACTTAACTGGGCATTTGTAATCCTTTTACACGGGGCCATTTCATTTTCCTAATTTTTTAATGTCCTTCTGGGGAGGAAGAGTGTCTTTTAAGTACGTTGCCTGGCTAAAGACTTCCATAGCATCACTTGGAGCCGAACACAAGTAAATGATGCTGGGGCTGAGCCTTATTTTGAGTGTTGTGCCCATCACATTGTCCTCTGTTGCCATCGCACAGGCCACGTTCCAGCTCTGCCCACAGCAATCCCCTGTCCCCCGACTGCTGCCTTTGTTCCTGCTGGCTGTTGCAGGTGGATCAGGCTTCAGCCCATGCTGCCCTGCTTCTTTCCACCCCTGCACCAATCCTACTGCTCCCCCAGTGCCTGTGAGGACGGCGGGGGGCTGTGCTGAAGGAAGAAGCCACGAGACTCCTTGTTGGAATCTCAGGTTAACTTAGCTGGAAGCTGCCAAGCATCACAACCATCCTGTTGGCCTTTGCCACATGGGTCAAACAGCGCAGACTGGCCTGTCCTGGTGCTGGCTGCCTTCCTCCTTTTCACATGAACTAGCCTGGATTGGTCTCGGGGCTGCCTCTTTGCGAGCCTGACTTGATATGACATTAAATGTTTTGGTTGTGTTCCTGCTGGCCCAAACTCTAAACATCACTTTGTTTTGTTTGATTAAGAAGCAAACAAACAAGAAAAGCCCCACCAAAAAAACCCAAAGAACTTCAAGAAAGTAGCAGTTACTGTCCTTGTGTTCACTGATGGGGGGTAGCTGCCAGTGGTTTCATCTGCGAACAAACCTGGGTTTTAGCCAGATACTCCTTAGACTCTAACGCTTTACTCTGTCTTGCACTCAAGCCACTTCAGTAAAATTAGGGAGGACTCACAGCCAAACCCAGGTTTGTGACAGCAGTGAGGTCACTGCAGTAAATGCTCCAGTGTACAAGTCAGCGTGGGCTCAGCCTGGTCGGTGCTCTCAGCCCGGTGCTGGTGTTTGCTGAAGTCACCCATGGTGCTCTCGAGGAGGGCAGTGGTTTTGGTTCCATGCTCCCAGCCGCTGCAGCAGCTGCCGTTCCCTGCTCCTCCAGGAGGGCTACCAAGAGCGGAAGGGCAGTCTTTGAGTTCCTTACTCACCTCACCCCCCTTTTTGCCTTTTCTCTTGCACCTGATCCTACAAATGTGAAAACATGGGCGGGGAAGAATTGCCTTGTCACCCTTTAGGGTTGTGGTTGTGCCCTCTAATAAGCAGAATGCCATGAGAGACCACTTTGTACCTGCTCCCTGAATGTAGGTTGTGTCAGAGGTGGAGGACGTGCTCAACTTACAGGGATGATGATGGACAGGTTAGTGTTCTTGAGAGGCATTACAGTGTATTGGGGAAGGAAAACAGTGGCATGACCCACTGCAGATTAATGTGATTAGCAGATCAGAAATCCAGGCACCCACTATCCGTCGTATTTCTACAGGAATTGGCCACACAACTCTCTGGGGCCATTTCTGATCCTTCTTCCTACGACGCCCAATGCCTGCGAGCCATTTGCTTCCTTTATCTCTGTTCGTACAGCTGACATTGTGTCAGCAGCTGGTGCACCCTCTGCAAGATCAGGGTCTTTGCTGCATCCAGCAGAGTTGGAGACGTGGAATTTTGCTTACGTCTGTGGTCCTCGGGAGCATTTTGCAGTGTAAGAGTTTCAAAAAACCTAAGTTACATTTATTCATGTGACTGAGAAGTGACTGAGAAGCACAGAGACTATCCTAAGTGACAGTCTAGTGCCCATTCTTCAAGATAGTATCAAAGTAATTTGTGATGAAATTACCATCTCTAATCCTGAAAACAATGCACTTGAATTATTTTTGAGCTTGAAAAGTTTTCATGGATGAGATTTACCGTAATTACTGGCTTTTTGCAGCCAAACTGTAATTCTAGCAAGTTAGAATCTGGATGTTTGGTGGGTTGGGAGATTTACACCTGTTCCTTGAAAACTAAAACAAGAAAAAAACCTGGAGGGCATTTTTATTGCTGCTTTCCCTCTAGAAAAAAAAGTATTCTGGTCTCCTCCCATTATCTGAGTTTCTACAGGACTTCAACAACGAGCAGAGCTGGAGGATCTGTTGGTGATGTGCTTATAACTGGTTCCATAGGATTAAGACACTGATTTTCTACAACTGTTGTCCACTTCTCTCAGCTGTAGTTACTCACTGGAGCTGCACTGCTTGTAAAAGTAATCCTGTGGTGGTATGTGGCAGGTGTTACAAAGAGGTGGTTCCATCACTGAACTTTCAAGCAGTCCCCTCTGTTTGGACATGTCTGGTTTGTGCACATCCTGTGGGATGAAGGCCTTGCTCCTCTGCCTCTCTGTATCCCCGGCTCCATTCCTCTGCCACAGACCTGTTTGTGGGAGGGGGCGCAGGAGCAGCCCGGGCGGCCTTGGATGTGTCCATGGCAGTAAAGCAGAGTGGGCTGGGAGGCACTGCCTGGCTGTGGGGCTGTGCTCTCTCAGTACCTGACACGCTTTTCATCTGTTTGCCCCTGTGCCAGTGAGCATTCTCCTACCCAGTGGCAGGGTGTGCGTTGAGTGGGGACAGAGATCCTTCCCTCTGGGCAGTATGGACCAGGTTACTCCCAGGGGGGAGGACGGAGCTTTGCTGCATGGATGGGAGCCACACTGTGCCATCTGCCTCTCAGGGCAGAGATCAGGCCTCAGCACATTCTGTTTACAACACAGAAACATGGATTAAATGCTTCTGGAATGGAACTGAAGAGCTGATTGGTTCGGTGTCCTTTTGAGTCTTCTGTTCTCCCTTGGGTTTTGTTTGTTCCTATATGAAGTTTAGCAAGATTTACCACTGGGACCCAGGTGACATGGCAAAGCGTTTCAATCACAGAAAACAGCTCCTTTCCCGTTTTTCAGAACACCAGATTTTAGAAATTACTCTTCCAGGGTTTGAGTTTTCACAGAACACAATGATAAAAAAAGCCTTGCATTGTGCAATGGGGGAAAAAAAGGAAGGCAAAAATATTTCAGTGTGGCTTTGCAATGTCCAGCAAGTTTTTTAAAAAGCAGTCTTAACAGTGATGATAAAACGTTGGCAGCTTTTCATAGTTGGTAAGAACTTTTGGATAAATATGATCTTTCATATTAAATCCCAGACAGCTCCATAAGTTCTTGCAAGAGCACTTTATTTTTTTGAGAAGTATATGCCAAACCAAACCTGAGATGCCTTGGGACTCTGCCGTTCGGTCCTGCCTGACGGTCTCCAGACTCAGCCTTTTCTCTCCTCTTTTGCAGGCCGTGTACATGTTTTATGCCTTGGCGATCGTCTGCGATGATTTCTTTGTCCCTTCGCTGGAAAAGATTTGCGAAGTAAGTATGAGAAGATGTTCCTTCTGCTTGTGAGGGCCTCAGGGTGTGGTGATGGTGTATTTACTGTTGTCCTACAGTGTCCCTCGTGTTGCTTGTTTAGTTGCTCAGTATGGCCTGTGTGCGTTGGCTGACAGGCTCTCCAGGTGCTCCAACCATTCACACTGTGGTAGTTGCTGTTGCTTCCTTTGTGTGTCTTTTTAGATGTCTCTGCAGAAACACCAGACCCCACCCTTATCTGACTCAAAGTAAAACCTGTGGTGATTTACCCCAGTAGAAGTCGCAGACCTTGTACTTTGTGCTCAGAGGCCTGAGTCTCACACCATGTGTTGTGCGGGTGTAAGTTGTAAAGCAACTGGGACAGCTAGGTCAGCTGTAAAGAAGCTTATGAATGCTTCCAGCAATTGCAAGGGACTCTGTCCCTCTTTTGCTAAGGTTGGCATGCTGAAATTTTAGAAGACAAGGAGTACATTTTAGCCTAAATCAGGTCAGACAGCTACAAAGAGAACACAGACCATGTGCCCACAGCGACTGCGAGCCCTCTCTGTAGTCAGTTCCAGGCAATGAAATCTTCGCATGTAGAAATATGGTTTGGTCTTGGCAGTGAGATGTCTGTGTCATCTGGGGGAGAGCCTGCCCGTGTTCCTGGCCATGAGTGTCACTCGTCAGGGCACGGGCTGTGCCTAGCCCTGGGAGAGGTGTCGGCAATGGCAGGAGAAGTCATCTGTGCTGACAGCTCTGATGGAAGTCATCTCTAAACTAACCTGATATTTGTAGTTCAGTTCCCTACTGTGAGAGCCTTTTTCGCACCTGGGCCCTAGAAGGCAGTTTTCATTTGCCTAGATCATTGCGTTTTGGTTATTTGTTATCTTCTCAATGGTACATAACAATTCCTCGTGTGCTTTAGTGGTTCTGAACCATTCTGTTACCCAGCACTGCCAATAAGATGATAATAACAAGTTCTATTTAATTGTGTGTGAAGGAGAAGGCTTTGCAATTGAACATCAGATCTGGACTACTTGTGTTTAAAGTTACTGTTAGGTGAAAGGTGCTATGTCACTATAGATTATCAAAATAGGTCATATAAATGGATCAGACTTTTACTGTTCCTGTTGCTCCTGTTTGATTCTCTCCCAAAAGTTTTTTCTCACCCCATAGGTGACCTTTGGGGGCATTCAAGTCCTTTTGTGTAGATTATGCGTAATTAAACCCTTCTGTAATTAAATGATAGCAAAAGAAATGTGCAGTCCTGTTTCCTGGTCCAACTGCTTTTGATTTCATTAGTCCAGAATGGCTTGTCTGCAGAACATCCAGCTTTCCATGGTTGTCCTTGATGTGAGCACTCAGGAATGCATGGGAAAAGGCACGGGGCACTTTGCAAAGGCTGATTGTCTTTGCTTTCAGAAGACACCGTGAGTTGCAGCAGCTCTTGTAGGGTGGCTGTCTCCACAGTGCCATATCTCATCCTTCAGAAGAACCTGGCCTTTGGGAAATCTGCTTCTGGTCTCATGAACTCCTCCTTCCCCAGTGGGTTTGATCCTGTTTAAAATAATTTCCCATAAAGCTGTGTTTAATCTGGTTCCACAAGCTTTTATAGCACTGCAACAATGCCATGGTCTTCTGCTTTAAAAGTATTCCTGGTGAGGGCACATCCTGTCCTTTCACCTTGTCCCCAAAACTTACATACAAAGTGTTCTCGGTGTATGGTGAGTGGATAGACTTACCTTCCCTTAGGGGCCAGGATTACCCTTGTGGGATCTTCAATCCAGATAAGGCTGGTGGGAGGATTTCTGCAGTCTTGTCTCTGTGCAAAGGTGATGATAAAGTTGCAGAGAAGCCCTGCAGCACTGCAGAGGGACGAGGGGAGAGGGAGGTTACCTCTCTGCTGCCAGGCTGGGGGCGCTGCCTCCTGGAGCCAGCTCTGCCGGGGATGCCTCCCACCACCCTGGGTTCATCCTCATACTGTCGGTCTTCCCTGTGCTCACAGCTGCTGACTCGCACCCCAGCTTGGTGCAGTAACAGCTCAGAGCTGGTGGCTGTTTGGGGGGCTGGTTTTAGCTCCGTGTTGAACGGGGGAAGGTGCCAGTGAGGCACATGGTCCTCAGCAGCCTTGTGGCGTCTGCTGAGCAGCCACTGGTGCAGATGGAACAGACAACATCAAGAGCGTAATTAACCAATTGAATCTTTGGAAGCAGCATATGTTGATGAAGTTTTTATAGAACAGTGGATCCTTTCCCTTCCAGAAGCCCCTGTTTTAGACAGTCCATGGGTACTGCTGGGGGAGGACAGGTGTAGGAGGTAAGTGATGGTGATCCCAGAGAAAGGGGGTGAGGTGAAGGTAAATGACCAAAGCTTAAGTGATGCCAGGGAAGGTGGCTGGGGGTGAACCAAAACTGAGCTGCAGCCCTGCCCTTTATGGGCCGAAGTGGCTAAGGTGTGTATTGCTGGGATTGTGGAGCAGACAGAGTGGTGAAGCTGCTGGAGTGCTGTCTAGAGTGCTGCCCTTCCTGTTCTCTGTAAAGGGCAGCACAAGCACAACCTGCCCTCTCTGCCAGGAGATGCTGACTTACGTAACCAGTGCCTGTGATGACTTTTCCCCTGTACTTAACCTTTGTTAACATAAACCTTTACACGAGTTTCCACTCTGGGCAGACAGTTTGACGTTTGCAGTGGAGTCCCTTCAGCTGCTCAGTGTTGTAACCAGTGTCTCTGTTTCTCTGCAGCGCTTGCATCTTAGCGAAGATGTGGCTGGGGCAACTTTCATGGCAGCGGGAAGCTCCGCTCCTGAGCTGTTTACATCTGTCATAGGTAACTAACCTGCTACTGCTTCCCCAAACCTTCACCTTGCCCTGGCTGCTTTTCAGAGTTGAAATGGGATTGCTACGTGCCTGTGACATTTGTTGCAATGCCGGGCCCTTCCCTCGTGGGCTCAGGTAGGACTAATTGCGGGGAGTCCTCGCTAGGTGAAGTCCTTCCACAGCCGTAAGCTGAGAGGGGCCTGAGGTCAGTGTTTATAAAAAGGTGCTGTTCCGTGCAGTTTTACTCATCCACATCTCTGTTGGCAGGGGATCGTCAGGGCAGCGGCTGGGAGGGTATGGAGGGCTCTCCATCACCAAGGAGAACTAGCTCTCAGCTTAGGTACTTTCTCTGGGAGACACTCCTGTTTCAGTCACAGCTGTCAGATGCAGAGCATAAGTTAATTCACGCAAAGCTGTGTGCTCTGCAGAGAGGTCTGATTACACAAGCAAAGCCATAACATTTGGGAACTTAAATTAGGGCTGTATTTCAGTTCAGGGGAGTGCAGTAGCAGGGTGAAAATAAAACCAGGTTCCTTCAGGCAACTTAGAAAAACTCTAATAGTCAGATCATTATCCCGCTATGGTGTAATCCAGATGCATGTCACTTGACAGGTGAGTGCTTCTGTGTTTCTGAGAAAAGGATAAAGTTGGAAAACATACCTAAACTGCACTGGCCAGATAAATACTGTCGGAACCTTAAAAGCAAGTGATGAATTTAAACAGACAGACAGCTCGCAGGAGATGGAGTGTTATTTTTAGACTGGCTTCCTAAGGAAAGGATTTTGTGCAGCACTGTGATGCATGTGTCTGTCAGTTCATCTCCCTCACCTTTAACCTCATTGGCCAATTTTAACCAAACTTGACAGAAGAGCTCTGAAAAGAGCCCCTCTGAAAGAGCCCCTCTGAAAAAAGCATAACTCATCCTGAGAGGCATCATTCAGCTTGGAAGTAACTAATGGCCAGACAGCTCTGAATCAGCTCCAGCTTCTACTGAAGCTCATCCCTACTGAAACCTTTTGGGATAGGGATACGAGGAGTACTGGGGAAGGAATGTCTTACGGGAGACAGTTTCCTGCAAATTAGTGTCCAACCAGATGCTGCCACAGAACTTGCAGTGTTTATGATGAGTATTGCCATAATATTGGATCACAAGACCAGGAGGCTGGTAACTTAGACATGACTAAGGTACTTGGTTTCCATCAGACAATCTATCCAGGTCCCCTCAGAAAGCAAGTCTCTGCAGGTTGCCCTATTAAATATAAGAAAAAGCGGCAGAACCGGTGCCTGCCTTTAGATTTATTAATGGGGTTGTGAGGTCTACAGTTTTATTGTGAAAAAATTCTGTTCTTTCCAATTTACACAGCTTCTCTTGAACTTGTTTTTCAGGTGTTTTTATCACAAAAGGAGACGTAGGCGTTGGAACCATTGTAGGCTCGGCTGTATTTAACATTCTCTGTATTATTGGCGTGTGTGGGCTTTTTGCAGGACAGGTAAGAGCATTTAATGATTCCTAACAGTTCTTACCGCACCCTGTGCTGTGAAATCAGATGCCAGGTTCACAATCTTGCCACAAATTTCTCTGGCTTTGTTCTTTTTAATAGGGCCCTGTGCTGTTTCTCTTGCACTTTTGAAATGAAAAGCAGAACAGCAAACGTCAACGCTGGCGTTTTAAGCTGCCCAAGACGTGGGTGGTCAAAGGAATAAAAGTTGATTATTTAACACCTCCTCTTGGTAGCTGTTGAAACCCACACGATGATGGCTGTATTGGGCCCTTTTAGGCCGAAGGAGCCGGGAGGTGTCAGTGCTTCTGGCGGGTAAATCAGGGTGGGGAACCCTGCGGGGCAACTCCAGGGAAAGATGGTGCTCCTGGAGCAGCTCCAAACATGCTGCCTTTGTGCAAGATAGCTTGGGGTGCATGTGGGTGATTGGCAGGGCTTGGGAAGTTGTGTGATTAAGATACAGTTTTGCCTGTGGTTTGTCTGGTTGGTTGTATCCATAGACCCAGAGTGGGCTGTGTGGGAACAGACCTCTGGGGGTCTCTGATCCAAAGCGCTCACACCCTGCCTCCTCCAGTTCTGAGCAGGGCTCATTTCAAAGCTGGATCAGGTTGCTCAGAGTCTGGTGCAGGAAGTTTTGAATACTTCCACAGATGCTCCAATGTTTTTCCTCCTTAGCTGTCAGGTGATCAGTTCCTAGTGCCGTTTCTGACTGTTTTCCACCGTGTCAAACTGCTTATGACAACACAAGCTATTAATCTGAAATGAAAGTAATTAAGTTTTGAGATCTGAGCTGCATTCTGAATTGCAGACATGATTGACTGTATAATTAAATATCTGAATCTGCATTCACCTTTGCACTTGCCAACTTGCCCAGTATTTTACAACCTCATAAATGTTGTTTGACACGTTATTGTGCAGACTTACTTGTGAAGAGGAGAAGCAGGGTGACGTTATCAACACAGGACAGTTGGGTAATTAGCTCTGGGAGAAGAGCTGGGACTTGTATAACTTGGTCAGTATGAGAAAGCATGCAGAGAGATGGGGCTTTCCTGGGAAAGCTTGTGATCCAATTTTATTTTTTCATTAGCAGTGAACTTTTACAGGATGAAGGTGAACATTTTCGCTGTGAGGAGGCTTCAGGATAAGGCCACTATAATACCTTTTAACCATCTAAATGTTCTTATTTGCATGGGAACATCTGTAGCTTCCAGCTACAGATGCTCGAGGTGTTAGTGGCTCTGCTGTAACTCTATGAAAGCCCAGCTGACTGAGGTCAATTTTTAATGACCAAAACCTTCCCGGGGCATGAAGCTGTGTTCCCCAAAGGTGTCATCAGTACGACTTTCTGCTCAGGCTGCTTTTTTCAAGCAAATGAAGGTGATTAACTGTTTAGCACAGTGGCAGAGGAACCAATTGTTCTGATTTTTAGTCTCCACAGTGTAGACTGCATGCCTCAAAACCTGCTAAAAATACTGGCTCCAGATCACAGCTTTCGGTGGAAAAGGCTTGCTAGAGTTTGGGGGTTGACAGAGAATGTCAGTCTTCTTGAGAGACCGTTTTGAGGCAGGAGATGGTTCTGAAGGATGGAACACAGCTCAGGTGCTCTCGGAAACGCCTTCAGCTTGCAGGCGTGGTAGCGTTCAGGAGTCCAGGGTGAGGACTGGCTGCTGGGAGTCATCCCAAGTGTGGTCTGCGTGTCTCTTTCGAGCCAAGAGCTGAGAGTCTGACTGATGTGTCCCAGCTTTGTTTTCCTTGACTCTAGGGGTGATGTGGGTATGGTTTGGTCAGGTCACTTAACACCTGTTTGCCGCAGTTTAACCCTCAGAGGGTGGGTGAGAACTGGAATGGTTGATTTGGAACTGTGATTTTAATGAGCAAATAAGAAACCTCAGTGTCAATAATTACAATATTCTAGATAAACTCTGGTTTGCTTTACTATTTATATTTTTTCCCACTCCAAATCTTTCACCAAAAAGTTGTTCCCTTTTGTTGTTGTGATTCATCTCTTTGTTTTGTGTTAATGTTAACAGGAATTTGGTTTTATTATCAACAGCGTCTCTATAGAGGCACTAACATAGGTGCTAAATTTGTTTGGTGGTTGCATTTCTGTTCAGCTGGGGACCTGGATCTCAGTGCTGAGTTGCCAGGTGAGCCTGGAGTCTGGTCATTGGTCGAAGCTGCCTGCTGTGCTCCAGGGCTTTTTCTTTGGACTCAGACCTGTAGGGGTCAGCAGCTGGAGCCCTCAGGTTTTCAGGTGTACTGTCCATGGAATGGGAATGCCAGAGCTCAGACCTGCAGGGGCTCTCCGCAGCATTGCCATCAGCACTCTTTTAGAAAGCCTTCTTTTGGTTTGGTTTTCATGGCTTTTTGACTGGTAAATGGTTGAATTGTAAAATACTGACCAACTCTCTCTGGGATATGTTTTATTTTTAAATTAGGTTGTAGTTCATGCATGCTGTGTTTGGATGTATTATTCTTTGGTTTAAGAGAATACTGGGTTTGGTTACCTTGAATAGAAAAAGAAACAAACCCACAGCCCCAAAAAGCTGGGATGTATTTGCGTGAGCACCCACTCCCAATTGTTTATTCTTCTAAGCCTTTAATGGCTGCAAGTGCCCACTTTTCAGAATAAATCAGAATAGACGTCCCACTGCTGGAACAGGAGAAGGGGAGTGTGATGCCCACACCTCTGTATGGCACTGCACACCTAAAAAAGACTTTAAAAGAGCATTGTTAGGGTTGAAAGTCAAACACCAAAAAGTTAGAAAATAGCAGCATTAGGGTTCCCTGTGCACTGTAATTTGCCCCCCCAGTGTGTGTTCATTATTATCCAGCCTTTAATTACAGGGTCCCCTGCCGAGTTCGCCTCCGGGGTCCCTGCCTCCCTCAGGCACAGAATGGACTTTGCTCACTTAATGAGAAGCTATTCAGGATTTTGTTTTCTCTTTATTGTTCACTCTGTGCCCTTCTGCCTTATTTACCAGGCTCTATTCAAGCCCTGTTTCAGAGGCAGAATTATTAATTTCCTCTTGAACGTCTGCCGATCTCATCGCTATTGTATCTGAGCAGTTGATGAGCAATTAATTAATTTTCCCCAAACCTCTGTGAGATGAAGGGATGTTTTAAAGATGGGGAAACAAAGCACAGAGAGATTAAATAGAAAAGAATAACTTGTCATTTTAGGGGCCAATTAGAGCTGGCACAGGCCTGTTCTTTCCCTGTCGCATAGCATCCTGTGGCACACTCTTTGATCCTGGCTTCAGGTGCTGCTCCTGCTGCTCCATGCTCCACAGGGATTTCCTTGCTGAGCTGGCCTTGGTTTGAGTGGCCATGTCAGTGTCCACACAGCCCACACAGTGGCCATTTCTTGAGGCTTGAGAGAAAAAAAGCTTGCACTGGCCAGATTCTTCCCCAGGATCATGGATCTACCCCTAGCTCTCTCTTGAGCATCCGGCTTTCCCACAGTGGTCTCGATCCCTGCTCCTCTGCCCACACCTCTGCTCTGTGTCTCCTTGCCTGACTTCTCCTGGCTAATGTTTTCCTAGCACACCTGCTGGTGTAGTGCAGGTTGGATGTGCCTACAGCTGTTTCCTAACTTGTCTGTACACCTGGGACACCAGCGTGGCTCCCTTCTGCTGCTAAATCACACAACCCAAATGTTGTTTCTTTAGTTGCTGTGTCTGCTTTGCTTCCTTCTGGCTCAGGGGGAACGAGGAAGCCAGAGAAGGCTGTGAGATGAAATGGTAGCAGGTGCTTCAGACACGAGTTCAGCAGCATTCTCGGGGACATGTGGGATAACAGGGGGAGACGCTGGCATGGACACCGCTGTCTTTGTTGGCGTGGATTGTATCAGGTTTTCTCTGTGCTTGCAGAGCAGCTGTGTGTGTGGAACTCGACCTCAGCCTGGTGTCCTCCCAAGCCTCCGTCACTCTGTCCTGTCTCCTTGCACGCTCATGTTTGTGCTTCCCAAATTCTCCCCTCCTTCCACTGCCCTCTCTCCATCCTTGGTGGCAAGGACACGGGGTTCTCGGAAGCAGTCCTTGCTTAATTTGGCTCTCGTTCAAGCCAGCACAAGCAGAGCTTGTTTGGTTTTGGACATTTCCCCGTCCAGATTCGTCTCAGTTTTGCAGCTCTGCTGCTCTACCCTGCACACTGTCCTGTCTTTGTCTGTCCTCACCCAGCACTGACCCGCCTTTTGCAGTGTTGCAGACGAGGATGGAGGAGGAGAAGTGCTTAAGGGAGAGAACATAGCCACGAGTTGCAAGTCATCCGAGTCCAGCATTAAACTGTAATTTTGAATCTGCACGGCTTGATCTGTTAATTAGTATTTACCTGCTGCATTTTTCATTAGAGTTCAACTTTTTCTATTTTACCTTTTCACATGAAAATACAGGCTGCTCTGGTTGGAGCAGGGGACCAAGAATGCTGGGTTGTGCTACAGATGTTCTTCCCGTTATTTGTTCTGTCAAGGGGTCTAGTAGGTGGCAAGGCATCATTCCTCAATATACTGAGTGAAGAAGGACTATCCAGACTGTCTGATCTGCCTCCTTCTGCTTCAGAGGGATTCTTTTACCTGAGGAAATAAACTAAATTCAGAAGGTTCTCTCCTCTGTTCAGGTCAGGAAACCCTTGTGCCAGCTGAGTCGCCTCTGGGAATCATCTGCTGCCCTGCACTCTGGGTTATGCCAGTGGGAAAACACGCCTGAGAAACAGGTGTGTTACACAGTGACAAGGAAACTAAACAGAGTTTAATAGCCCGGTGGAACACTGCTTAATGAAGGGCCTGGGACTTGTGTGATCTCTTGTACCCCACTTCTGCCACACAGCCAGCTTGCATGCATCTTAATCTTTTAAGCTTTAATTTCACTCACAACTCAGACGGCAGTCGTTACTGACCTTTGGGTGAGTGATTGCATTCATGTGCGTTTTTATTTTCTTCTCCTGGGCTGTGGAGGAGTTTTAGGAGGGGAGAGTCGAAATGCTGTTGCTAT